TTGACTCCAGTCTCTTATTTACAGCTCATATAGATAATTTCATACTAGGATAGCCATTTTTCATCTCAGAAATATTACTGAAATAAGAAATATAATGTCACCACATGATGCAGAAAACTGCTGTCAAAACAAGCTCAAGTTAGTCCAGAATGCAGCAGCCAGAGTCTTACTAGAACCAGAAGATTTGATCAAATCACCCCTATCTTATACACACTGCATTAGCTTCCAAAAAAATTCAATTGATTATAAAATACTACTAATGACCCCACACTATAATGGCCAAAATTTTGTGGACACCTGGCCATGACACCCATATGTACTTTTTGAGAATCCCATTCCCAGATTTAGTCCCCGTTTGCTGTTATAACCACCACGCTACTGAGAAGGCTTTCCACTAGATTTTGAAGTGTGGCTGTGGGGATTTGCCAATTCGGCCACAATAGCATTAGTGAGGTCAGGCACCAATATCAGGTGAGGAGACATGGGGCACAGTCGTTGTTCCAGTTCATCCTAAAGGTGTTCAGCAGGGTTGAAGTCAGGACTTTGTGAGGCCACTTGAGTTCTTCCACTCCAACCTTGTCAAACCATGTCTTCATGGACCTCTCTTTGTGCACAGGGTCATTGTCATTCTGGAACAGGTTTGGGCTAGGCCCTTTACTTCCAGTGAAGGGACATTCTGTACAATCGCCTGCTTGCAACTTTACTGCAACAGTTTAAGGGAAGACCCACATATGGGTGTGATTGTCAGGTGTCCACAAACCTTTGGCCATATAGTGTATAAAGCACTGAATGGTCTTGCACTGCAGTACCTGCATGAGCCTTTGGTCTTTTATGATCTGCCACACCTGCTTTGATCAAAAGATGCAGGCTCTTTGTTAGTACAGCTGTACTAAATGTAAATGTCAGCTGGTGAATCTGCCAGCCACCCCAAAAGTGCCATTGGTCCCCTTCCATTAATTGAGGTCCCCTTTGAAAGAATTGGCATGGATCTCTTCTGGCCATTAGATTGGACTTCACAAGGGCATCACTTTATGTTAGTTCTAGTGGACTACACAATGCGATACCCAGAAGCAGTGCCTCTCTGCTCCATCTCAGCACGTAATATTGCAGAAGCACTCTTCCGTGTCATCTGCCATGTCAGGATCCCGACAGAGATTCTGAATGAACAGGGCACTACATTTATGTCACGGACACTACACGAACTTTACGAATTATTGGGCATAAAGTCAATTCACACAAGCGTTTACCATCTGCAGACGGATGGGCTAGTCGAATGGTTTAATCAAACGCTTAAAAATATGATTCGTAAATTCGTTCATGATGATGCGCAGATTTGGCATAAGTGGCTCGAACCCCTGTTATTTGCAGTACGAGAGGTCCTGCAAGCCTCCACAGGGTTTTCCCCATTCGAATTGTTGTACGGGCGCAAGCCGCATTGCGTCTTAAACGTCATTAGGCACAAGAATGTCAATCCCGGCTGTATAACAGGGGTACTCGACTACGGGTGTTTGCACCCAGAGAGCAAGTGCTCGTTTTACTACCCACATCGAGCTCTAAATTACTTGCCAAGTGGCAAGGGCCCTTTGAGGTCACACGGCTATTCGGGGATGTCGACTATGAGGTAAGACAAAAGGATAGAGGCGGGGTGAGGCAGATATACCACCTCAATCTCCTTAAACCATGGAGAGAGGTGGTCCCCGTGGCTTTGGCAATGGTCGTTCTGGAGAAGGAGGAGCTAGGGCCAGAAGTAACTCTATAAAGAGCGGCTCAATCTACCCCAGGCCCTTGCAGAGACCACCTCTCGCCGTCACAAATTAAAGAGGTTGCCAAGTTGCAGGTGGAGTTTTCCGATGTGTTCTCGCCTCTACCCACTCACACTAAACTCATAGAACACCACATAGAGATGCCCTCAGGGGTGGTGGTACACAGCCACCCCTACTAATTACCAAAGGACAAAAAACAGGTAGTTTGGAATGAGCTCAAGGCCTTGCTCAATATGGGAGTAATTGAGGAGTCCCACAGTGACTGGTCCAGTCCGGTGGTTTTAGTGCCCAGGGCAGATGGTTTGGTCAGGTTTTGTGTGGACTTTAGAAAAGTGAACACGGTGTCTAAATTTGACACACACCCAATGCCTCTCTTTGACAAACTGCTTGATCGGTTAGGTGCAGCTCGCTTTTATTCGACGCTGGATTTGACAAAGGGATATTGACCCCTTGAGTCCAATATCTCATGAAAAAAATGGCCTTTTCCACTCAGTTTACACCAATTCGTGACCCTTCCTTTTGGGTTGTTCGGGCCCCCGCAATGTTCCAGCGACTCATGGACAGAATCCTCCATCTGCACGCTGCTTATGCTGCACATTCAGCATTTGAGGGCTGTCTTGAGATCGCTGAGATGATCGGGACTCATGGCGAACCCAAAGAAGTGTGAATTGGATGGGTGGAAGTACAGTATCTGGGCTTCCACTTGGTCCATGGGCAGGTGCTTCCCCAAATTGATAAGACAGCAGTGATTGTGGCCTGCCCGAGACCCAAGACCAAAAAGGCGGTCAGACAGTTTCTGGGGCTGCCTGGCTATTATCGTAGGTTTGTGCCTAATTATTTGGGTGTCATCAGCCCACTGACTGATCTCACTAAAAAGAGGGTGCCAGACCAGGTCCAGTGGACGGAACAATGCCAGCAGGCTTTTATTCAGGTAAAAGCTGCACTCTGTAGCGGATCACTCTTACATTCTCCTGACTTCTCTCTCCCTTTTGCACTGGACCATATGTCTGGACCATGTGATATTGTCCATTGCATGCTCCCATTTCCATCTTACATCCTACAGCTGCATCCCCGCCATCCTGCTGGCATGGACCTCCTTCATCCCATACACCTCCTTATCTTAGTGAGGTGTTGAAATGCCACCCAGATGTGCCCTGCTTTGCGCAACCTCATGCCTCAGTCATGACTCTGCCAGCTCGACTGTGTCTCTTGCTCTTCATTTTCTCCTGGTCCTCACTTTGATGCCCCCCTGTGAGATGTTCAGGTAGTTGGACTCGCTGCCCTGCAGCATCTCTCTAATCATAAATTCTTAGTTCAGGCTGTTGAATGGGAGCTTCAGCTTGTAGTCTTGCAAAGAAACATGTATGTGTACATATGCATATGTTCAAGTGGAGAATGGGACCTTATGCACCAGCAGATGCCACAGGATATGTAAAAGAATACCATGCCGGTAAATTTAGTCTTTGAACCCGATTTATCCACTGTCACCAGCCGTGACTCCAGTTCCTGGCTGGAAGGATACAGTGGCCCTTGAGAAGCAGTTGAAGGTCTTCCCCAGGCTCTTAATGGCAGTTACTATAGTAAATTATAAATTATAGCAAGGGGTTTTTTTCTTACAAGGCTCTCTAGCTATGGAACAATGGAACAGTTTTTGTCCCAGTTTATGCCTACCACTTGCTTTTTGCATCAGCAGTTAATATTAGCTGTATGCTGAATTCCCTTACCTCCTGTGGAATGTAGTAAAGAGTGTCCTCTGCTCATCCCAGGCCTCTTATTCACAATATTCTCATACTGAACATTCTTTCAACATACTTAGTAAGATTTCCCTTTTATCCTTGCAACTAATGAGTTTGGAAGCACACTACTGCATGAGGTAAAAATGCATGTTGATCTTAAACAAACATATACAAACTAAAATTTGAGCTTTTGAGCTCATTTGCTGCTTATCACTGGTCAGCTTTAGCTTTGCTCAACTCACAAACACACTCAGCTCCCTGCTCAGAGACAGGGAGAGAAAACATAAATAGTAACACAAAATACAGGTGTGCCGCATCAACTATCATCCTTTTAGCTCATCGCCCAAATCACCCTTTCTGCTGCAGACTCCAACAAAACCACCCCCACGTACTACAAACTGTATAGGATAATGTACATGTGGCAGGTCGAAAGTGAATAATATGTAGTAGTAAGGATGATGATAATAATAATAATACGAGGGGGAGAAATACAATTTATCCCAACTTGAGGTCACTCAAATTTAACCAACTACGCCACCCTGGAGGGAGGGACCAGGGAAACACTCCCAATAAGGACACACAGGTAAGTTTTACCAAATTAGATAGCTAATGGTTGACACAATCATACATACATCAAAATAAACAAAATACAAACAAAAACTGCAGCCACACAGACAGTTTATCCTGGTTGAGCGATAAAGAAAACAAATCAACTAAAAAATAGTAAATGGTGTGGACACCTGGGGAAGAGCAAACAATAAACAAAACAGAATAAAACAATAAACAAACCAAACAAAAACACAAAGAAAAACCATAAAAAGGGCAAAACAATGAAATGAAAACCAACCAAAACAGTGAGCCAAACAGAAACACTAAGCAAAACAGCAGCAGTGTCGCATATGACATCTTTGGACTATGTGAACAGCTTATTCCCGGCAATCCAACCCCACTTCAACCAGCTCAAGCGGAAGCAAAAACGAAAATGCCAGAGAGGAAGGAACCGGGACTCACTGTGACGCATATCGAACCTTCAAGATAAGCGTCCTTAAATAATGCAGCAGCCCCCATTCGATTGGTTAAACGGAACTGACACTGAACTGAACAAGGTTAACTAAGTAGGTTGTCACCACTCCACTACATACATATACTTACTCGATTCAGTGTCACCCAGTAGAGGATGTGTTCCCATTTGAATCTGGTTCCTCTCAAGGTATCTTGTTATCTCGAGACTTGCCATTGTCACATTTGGCTTGCTCATTGGTGATTTCGATCTATATTTGGATTTCTGTAAAGCTACTTTGTGACAATATCCCTTAAAAGTTGTTGTTGTTGTTGCTGCTGCTGCTGCTTCTTTTTCGGCTGCTCCCATTAGGGGTTGCCACAGCGGATCATTGTTCCGCATATTTGATTTGGCATAGTTTTTAAACCAGAGGCCCTTCCTGACACAAACCTACCCAGTTTTACTTTCACTGTTGCATGCAACCCCAGCGGCTAGGGTTGGTTCCCTGGCCAGGAATCGAACCCAGGCCACAGCAGTGAGAGCACTGTGGCCTAACCACTAGGTCCTCCAGGGACCCTGACAATATCCCTTAAAAGTGCTGTTCAAATAAAATTGGATTTAATTTATTTAACTTTGAAGAAATATGACCTGCTAAATGAGCTAAAAGTAGTAACAATTATTCAATAATAATGTCATCTTTGACTCCTCTTTTACAAGTAGTTTGGATATTGTTAAATATTTCAATACCCATAGCACTCTCGCAGTGCATGTGTAAGTCTGCTTGGTGGGCTGTAGATAAAAATGAGTTTAGGTTTGCAGTTACTGAAGTTAAGGTTAGGGTTAATGAGGTTGTGGATATGATTAAGGTTACTTCTTTCATACAGATATCCTTCCCTTTCTTCTCACCTTGCACACATGTCAGACCACATGTACAGAATAGGGAGAGTCCTGTATCTACTTAGCAGCTTGTGACTATAGTCACATCACTTCTACGTTGGTATTTCTTATACATTACAAACCCCCTGTTTCATAGAATACAGTGCTTGGTGGCAACCATTAGAGATGGTTTTCCCACATTAGCATTGCGAAACTGTGTTAGCTATCATTCACCACATTATTCACCATGTTATCTCCATGGGACTTCTCACCTCTGTCCACCAGGTCAGATTATTTTGACTATTCCATACCACCTGCTGTCTACCCAACTGGTGGTGGAATATTGATTTGCCTCTGATTGCAGTGTCAGCCTACAATCTATATTTGCCAACCTAATTGTTGATGTGGTGGGATGAAGATTTCTGTGTGGGATCAGTACATAGCACAGAAAAAAAGAGCTTACCAAGTGACATTACCTAGCTAGATAATGCTCTTGTGAAAGGGGTAAAGCCACAATAAGAGTTTACATGCAGCTCTGTTGAGGATGGTAGCAAGACTTAGCAAGGCTTACTTTAGCTAGCTAGCTAAAGAACAGAGTTAAGAACAAAACGTATATACATGCATGGTTACTTCTAGAGTGTATATTTTTTATTATTTGAACTTTTCTGCATACTTTTTTTTATCCTTCATTGCTGAAAAAATCCAGCTTGTTCTGACCAGCTACCAGCTGCCAAAACACAGGCAGATGGTCAGACTGGTAGATCATTTCCCCCCAGTTTCCCCCAATAAATAAATAAATAAATTTATATATAGTATAAATATATGGAACGAGGCTACTGCCATTAGGGAATACCGTTGCCATGAAGTACTATAGTGCATCCTGGCGCCATCTCTTCCCCAGGTAAGCAACGCACCCAGTTGTCCACGTGATGTAAATGAAAACGTGATTCACCAGACCAGGCCACCTTCCATTGCCCCATTGTCCAATTCTGATCCTCACGTGTCCATTGTAGGCTTTCGGCAGTGGACAGGGGTCAGCAAGAGCACTCTGATCGGTCTGTGGCTACGCAGCTCCAGCCACCACATGCTGTGATGCACTGTGTGTTCTGACACCTTTCTGTCATAGCCAACTTTTTCAGCAGTTTGTGCTACAGTAGCTCTTCTGTGAGATCAGACCAGAGGGGCTAGCCTTTGCTCTCCACGTGCATCAGTGAGCATTGGGTGCCCATGACCCTGTCATCGGCTCACCGGTTGTCCTTCCTTGGCCCACTTTTGGTAGGTACTAAGCAGTGCATACCGGAAACACCCCAAAAGACCTGCCATTTTGGAGATGCTCTGAACTAGTCACCTAGCCATCACAATTTGGCCCTTGTCAAACTCACTTGGATCCTTATGCTTGTCCATTTTTCCTGCTCCTAACACATCAACTTCGAGACCTTACTGTTCACTTGCTGCCTAATATATCCCACCCCTTGACAGGTGCCACTGTAACGAGATTGTAACGAGACACACACACACACACACACAAATAGTTTAACTGGTGCACAGCTTATTGAAGAATGGAAGGGTAACAGAGATTATAAATTAACAATTGATATAGTACACATTTGTCTGCAATGTGGACCTCACTACATTTTTAAAATCTTGGTTATGGTCCTGTGAGTGCTGTATTTTCCCAAGGTTGACCTAACTACAAAAGGAAATGTTTACACATAAAATGTGGGTTCATGTCAAGGGAAGGAATCCAATTTCAGTCTGATTGATTTTTTTCTCTCTTGCCTCCTGTTGGACGTCTGGTTGGCCATGGCATTCATCTGGTGAAGCTGACAATTGAGTCAAGGACAAAATCAGACTAATGCAATCCATCCTAATGCATGTGGATAAAGAAGGAGAAGAAGAAGAAGAAGAAGAAGAAGAAGAAGAGACGGAGATAGAGTTAGAAAGAGAGAACAGGGAAGCTGCAGAATCCTGAATCCGGGTCCGTCTCCGTGTTTTGCGGAACATGCAGAGAGCGTCTCAGACCTTTCTGCTGCAGTGGAGGACTAAACACACGCACACACTCATACACACCATACACCAGTCCCCTCTCCTATCCAGTCCTCCGCTTCACACACATACCAGAGGGAGTGAGAAAAAGGGGGAATACGCCAAAAAAGGAAACCCAAACGGTAGAGGAGCAGGGAAGCTTTGTTCCCCCCATGGGACTGGATTTGGCTCATTTCTACATCTGTGTGTCCTTCGTTTCGCTGTCATGATGAGAAGAAGCATGTGTGTGTACCAATGACTCCGACACACGCACGGATTCTCAGGTAAGAACACGGGCATCAGTGTTCGTTACTAATGAGCCGGCACGTTTTCCCTCATTTTCCGGCGCCGATTTTCTCAAATCATGTCATTTGTTTTTCAGTCGTAGAAAACCTCTCATTATACCATCTCTCTGAATAATAATAATAATGATAATAATAAGAAAACAATAATAAACAGATGATTTTTGAGCTCCAGTGATGGCATGGAACATCAAACGTGATATTAAGGAACCTGTAGAAAATGGAGAATTGCAGTATGTGAAGAACATGTAATGAGCATGAGGGCACGATTCTGTGTGTGTTGGTGTGTGTGTGTGTGTGTGTGTGATAGCAGTTACAGGTATCAGTTTGGAAATGGTGAATGGCAGGATGAAGATGTAGAGAACAATATGTACTCAATGTGATCACAGCTTCTGTCGGTGTGTGTGTGTGTGTGTGTGTGTGTGTGTAAGAGAGAGAGAGCGATATGGAGAGACGTACTTACAGGTATCTCTCACACTCAGTGGGTGTGTGAAAAGCGTCGTGTGTGTCTGTATGTGTATGTGTGTGCGTGTGTGTGTGTGTGAGCGCGCGCGCTTGTGTGCGTGCTTGGCCGGAGTGTGTGATCTTGTTGCGCATCCATACGGGACTCAGGCTCTCTTGACTGGCATGAATGGAGAGAGAGAGAGAGTAATGAAGGAGGAAAGGTTGCCTAGCAATAAGCTCAGATCCTGAAGTGCAGAGATGAGATTTTCTGCTTCAGTGCTCGGCAGTGGAACGTCCGTCACTGTCCATATGGGTGTATGTATATGTGTGTGTTGTGAGATGGTGTGACAGATGGGGTCTTCTATTTACTGTGATTTTGTCTTCTATTTACTGTGATTGTGTCTCATTCATCCCGGTTACACACACCAGGCTGTTTTCTGCTGAAGCTTCGTTGAACCTTCAGGTCCCAAATGATGTGTTACATATTAAACCCACTGCAGTGTGTGTGTGTGTGTGTGTGTGTGTGACACAGAGAGAGAGAGAGAGAGAAAGAGAGAGACTTGCTGATAATCATTTACATGATATACTGTGATAGATGTATTGCTTAGGTAAGTAGCATGTTTGGGTGGTGTGTTTATTCACCAGAGATAAAATCTCTCCCATTCCCTTTAAGCTTGTCCCTTTAAGGTTGTTGTTCAATTTGTATATCGTACGTGCCCCTCTTGGGGTAGGCTATAATATAAATCTGTTCAGTGGGCAAGAATTCCATAAAAGTTTAAAGAACATGGCATGACTAAACTGTCGCTCAGACAGAAGAATACATTGCCAAATGTAAGTTAAAATTAGTTTCATCATTGTAGCTAACATTTACTTTGATTAAGAGGTACAGTATATTTGTGTTTTTTGACAACCAGATGTTGCCATGAGTCAATTTATCTAGTTTACCTAATGTAAAGTGATATGGGGGTCATATTCAGAGTTAGGGACTTAAGTCAGAAATGCAAATCACACATCAGTATTATGCAGGGACATTCTCCATATCCAGAGTTGGCTTGGTGGTTAGCACTGTTGCCTCACACTGCTGGGGTTGGGGGTTTGATCTCCGCTGTGTGTGTGTGTGTGTGTGTGTGTGTGTGTGTGTGTGTTTCTCCCCATGCTTCGGGGGTTTCCTCCCCCAGTCCAAAGACATGCGTTGTAGTCTGATTGATATTTCCAAATTGTCTGTGAGTGTGTGTGAGATTGTGCCCTGCGATGGGCTGGCACCTCATCCAGACTGTCCCCCACCTTGTGCCCTGAGTGTCCTGGGATAGGCTCCATGTTACCCTGCAACCCTGTGTGGGATAAGTGGTACGGAGAATGGATGGATGGAAGTTCATGCTTTCATGGTCACCAGTTTTTTCTTGTGTAGCATCCTGTAGAGATGTTTTTAATAGAGTCTAGATCAGATCATTTAAATCAAGCACCAGTCTTTACGCAAGAAAAAAAAATTGGGAGATAGAAAATGTGAACTGATGAAGCAGGTTTTTTTTCATCATTTGTAATATGATATAGTATAAAACCAAGAGATAATAAAAATAAAGTTTAGATCTAATTGTAGCCAACTGGTTTGCACAAAGAGTGCATAAATGTCCAAGTAGTGCTTTCTGTTGTTAATTCTTAAGTTTGAATACCGAGGTGCTTAATGTCATCATTAACTTATAATTATGTGTGCTTAACTCAGCTAAATACAGCCTAAGCACAGCCCATAGCACGTAACTTGCTATTTAGCATCAGTTAATTTAGCTAGTTACGGAATGCTAGTCAACTCTAGTTCTTTAAAACAAGCACTAACTCTCTTTAAAAATCTTGTCCAGTGAGAAAAGAGGCATGCCCCATTTTACATGAAATGCACCCTAATTAATGTGAGTGTTTTTGCGACAGTGAGCCA